GTGACCATGCATGACTTGCTGCTGTGGTTGAGAATTAGAGGAAGATACACATGCACACGTGAGTTTGGGCATGCATGTGTACATGAATGTGTACACATGGACAGAGTCAAGTATTACATGCATAAACATTCTCAAACCATTATACATACATGTAGTCAAAAAACCAAAGAAATAGTCTTAGATGTGTCCTTGTCACATAGCACCCAGGTCTGCAGTTGACACATATGTGTGCCCAACTGAGTGGGGCCTCCGGTGATCCAGTGGGCCTCCATAGTGACCATGAATGGCTTGCTCCCCAGGGCCCATCAGCTGCCCCTGTTCCCTCTCTGGAAGAGGCAGGATACATCGGGATCAGTACCCTGGTTCCTGGTACCAGGGTGGAATGGTATCTAAGTTCCTAGCTGTATAATAATAATAATAATAATAATAATAATAATAATAATAATAATAATAATAATGATAATGATAATGATAATAGCTAGCATTTATATTGTGTTTACTACGTACCAGGCACTAAGTGCCAAGTGCTTTACAATTAAAGGCATCAATCCTGAGACTACCGTGATTCTCTGAATAAACTTCTGGCTAGCCTGTAACTCCTGGTGTTTGGCATAGATTGGGATTAAAGAATTCTGTAGGCAGTTCTTGGTATGAGCTACTTGTCTTGGAGAGGAGGACAGAGATGGAAGGCAGTATTAGTGTGGGAAGGAGGCAACCGTTTTGGTCCTGAACAGCTCCAGGTTCTAGTTGAGCTCAGGGAGGGCCTATTCTTTCTGCTCTGTCCTCCCACAGCCAGGAGTCATCTGAGTGAGGGCCCTCAGAAGGGGGAGGGGAATGGGGAATGTCTGGGGGATCTGGCTGGCAAGTGCCAGCTGCACGCCCCAGGCCTGCCCCGAGCCTCTTGGCTGGCAGCCACACCAACCCCCAGAGGAACTGGCTTGTTCTTTGAGGGGGGGGTATGGTGGGAGGGAGGTGGGGGGGCATTTCCTGGCATGGCAGCCCATAAGGTAAAGTAGAGGTCACCAAGTCAAAGGGTCTTAGATATGTCTGCCTCTAGGGGAGTAAGGGGTGGGGCTCGGGATGCAAAGCATGATGTCCCACACATAGTAGGTATTAAATACATGTTTCTAAGAGATGATAGTGGATTTACTATGCTCCTCTTCCAGTTGGGAAAGAATCAGGGGACTTCAGGAAAAGACCAGCCCAGACTCCCTATCTCCTGAACCCGAGGCCCATGCCCAACCATAGTCTCTTCCCTAAGATGTTAGCAGGGACAGGAAGCTATCTGAGCCTGCTGTCCTGGTAGGCACCAGCTAGGGCATCACACTAGGCTCAGGACTGATGCCCAAGTCTGGATACATTTAGGAGCTCAGGTGCCACTCTACCCTGGCAGGAACCAGGGTACTGATCCTCATGTGTCCTGCCTTACCCAGAGAGGGGACAGGGACAGCTGATGAACCCTGGGGAGCAGACGGTGCATGGTCATCATGGAGCTCCATTGGGAAAAGGCCTGGGTTGGGCACATAGATGTGTCAGCTTGTCTAGATGCAAGCAGGGGTACTGTGCAACATGGACACACCCAGGCCTATTTTTTTTTTTGTCTTTTACTACAGGCATGTGTAATGGTTTGAGAATGTTTGTGCATGCATTCGTAACCACTTGTGCACAAATAACTGATTCTGCCCATTTATGGGGATTCATGTATTCATGCATACCTACATTTATGTACCTTAGATTCTTAACCATCCCTCTGCCTTCTTCTAAGGATTCTCTTCTTCCTCACAGGG